ATTGATTAAAATCACCCTATGATCAAGTGCAGGATGGATTTAGATATGGTACAAACAGTGGATTATGGTTCAGATATTTTGGTGAAAGGGATTGAGAACCCATAACAGCCAGAAAAATGAGGGAATGGAAGATCTGTTATACCTGAGGAGGTCACTGGTCAAGAATTTTACTCTGTACTGAGCTGGTTTTAATTTAGGCACCCACTTTGACTGTCAAGTATGAACATACTCTTGCTGAGTTAAAGGGATTATGAAATGTTTTGCCAGATAGAAGCATATCACAAGGGAAAAAAAACTGACACATTTAAACATCAAAGATTATTAAAACAAGAAATTAAATAAGATGAAAAACCTATATTTGGTCAAAACTATTTTAAGCTCTTCTATTAATATTAGACTAACGGACTTTTGCAAAACTAACAACACAATTTGGTCAAATTACAGGAGCTACATAGGACACCTTGGAAACCTTTATAACTCAAATGTCTGAGTTTTGCAGTCAACTAAGATGTGTCATGCATGTATTAATTTGAGAAATTCTGTTTACTGTAACTATGTTATCAATGTCATACTGGAAGTCTTGCAGACTGTAGCTTTAATATTGTCATTATAAAATTATAGCTGAAGGCAGACTACTGATGTGATATGATGTGAAAAATGTGTAATGAAATTCCTGTTAGTTTTAATTCCAATAGAATCTGTTACTAAGAGCCAAAAGCTGTTTCTGATATAGATTGTTATGATCCGACACACTTTCACTTGTTATCAAGTTATTAGAACGTATAAGGCTGTCATCAGTTTTAGATCTTTATGGCTCTGGATTTTCTAGGTCATTTTTATTCTCTATGGATTTAATATTTCAATATAGAAATTAAATTTAAATCTATATTTATATGTTTCTGAAGCAAAATTGAAGAAAAATGGTTCCAAGGCCAAACATCAAGAATTGATAATTACAACCTAAATTCAACAGTAATAAAAATCCATACAAGCAAGACAATTCTATCAATTAAATATCTTGTTTAAAAAATATTAAAATCTGGAGTAAAGTTAGTATAGAAGTGGACTCCTCATAAGAGAACACCATCAGGTGTTTCGGAAAGAGTAAGCATGGTCTGTAAAAACCCTACCTCAAGTGGAGCTGGAGACCAAAATATTTTGAAGAGAAAATAGACCTAGTATCTGCCTAAAAAAACAAAAGACAAATATCTTGCTTGAAATTGTTCTGAGATTTGTCCAAATTAACACTTTGATTGTCTTAGCTTAGCTTAGCCTCCTTTTTCCATATTTTCTCGTACATGTTGTCTCACACTTAATGCAGAATTTGAAGACTCAACTTAAGATTAAATTAATACAGTAAAATTACCTGCTTGCCAAATAGATTATGCTTTTGATACTAATCTTAAGAGCTCTGAATAAAATATGAAGATGAAGACATATGATAAGTTAGGGTACTTGAAATTGGGAGGGTGACACTTTTTGTCAAAAATCTCCATTATCTTATGACATTTTCTATTTGCTTAGTTTGCAGATTTTTTTCTATAGCCTGATACATAAAATTGTCTGAAAATTTGTAGGTACCACATTGATTATTCTCCATCTTGAATGTCATAATTGTAGCTCAGCCTGCAATTATGTTTGTGAAGGACAGTGAGGGGTGGTGGGGGGGTGTCGAGAAGGGATGTGACAGAGAATATAGGAGAACTAAAAACTTATATAATTAGTACCTGAAAAACATGTAAACTGATTACACCCGTACATAAAATAGTACATAAAATAATGACGATCCTCTTTCTGTTTTTTAAGTGTGACACCAATTGCAATCCTGTGATTACAGCAGATATTGTGATAGTCACATCATGAAACACTAAGTTTTTAGCAGAAATCACAGACGTCTGATTGAAAATTGGAATGATGTAAATAGATGCTTACAGTGTCCCCCATACTACAAAGTATAGAAAACCTCTTTATAATCTCTTAAAATCTAGATTCTCCTCCTGAAGCTTATTGACTATTTCTTGTCCATTAAATCCCAACCTCTAGACAGTTAAATTACTATCTGTCATCAAATAGAAATATTTCATTGTCTTTGATATTTATTCTAAGAAAATAATTTTTCATTCAAGATTTTGACATTTAATATAATGGGTTCTATTGATTTCGAGAATGTTCAATGGGAGATTAAGGTGACATTTAAATGCGGAGGTAGACAAAACTTACACAACATTTAAGTTCTAAAAAGTGATACAGAAAGCTGTAATTGAGATCAAATTGCTGACAAAGCAAATTAATGAGACTTGGTTTATTTCATCTCTCACTACACTAAATGAATATTTTGTGTAATTCCTGTGCCCATCCTGAATAATCCAGTGATCATGGTATGTTAATACTATTTACTTGTAAGATCAGTAGATATAGAGTGAGAATAATGGTATTTAGTATTATATTAGTATAATCTATTTAAATACTTATATCTCCTATTACAAGCCCTCCCCCCCCCCCCCCACCCCCCCCTTGAAAAATTTAGATGACTTAAATGAATTGTTGAGTCGCTATAGTTGAGCACCTCTTCAAAAAATTTGGCCACCCTGAGACCCTGGGCTGCTAAGGGCCTGGCATGGACTAATACTATTGAAGCCAGGGTCTCATTAATTATAGGTCTCAATACAAATTGAAAGAACACTAGAATTATTTAGTACTAGTATATATTGAGTTTACTGAATAAAAGATTTGTACAAATATATTATTTACTAGGTAAATATTGATAATTAGAACCTATTGTCATTGTTTACTTCATTTTCATCTTGTTAGCCTTTGATGACCATTACTGATCAAAATAACTACTTTATGTCCAATTGACCATCATGACAGGTCAGTCCTTTGTAAAGGGATGTTAGTGATAGATAGATGACATTTGAAATTGAAAAGAAGGCTATTTGTTATGTGAAATGTCTAATTAGGCTTATTATATTGAAAATGAAATGATATGATATAGAGTGAGTTATACATCCTACTTTTGATTAGGCTATTAAAAATAAGCAACATTGCAGTGTGCAATGAGGGACATTCTCCCAGTATATTATGTGGTCAATTTCTGCTATTTCTATGAAATGTATAAGTAAATCGAAGCTTATTCTCACTTTTCTGATACCCGCTTTGGTATTTTGGGCTATGATACAAGAGTTGCAGATTGGGAACCATATCTACTGTAGTTTCAACAGATTGTATTAAGTTATAAATTATCTATCTAAGTTCCCTCCAGACACCAATAATCATGTTTCTCAGTGCTCTAATGAATTTAATATCAATGTAATCAAGGTCTAAACAATGAATGAAGTAAAGTGAATTGAGCTATATTTATGACTAGAGAGAGAAAATCGTCTCATTCAAGCTAAGATGACAGGAGATAGAAATCAATATCAATCAATAGGTCATGACCTTTTATCAGCAGGCGGATTGTCAGAAGATTGTAGCAGAATACAGTGGAATGCAAGGTTTTATTTGTAGATAAGACAAGCAGAAGTGAGTAGGTGGAGAATTGGGTTGACAGCAGAGTAAAATCAGGAATAATGGAATATTTCATTTGGCTGGAGGTTGCCTTACAACTATTATTGATATGAAGTGTGACAAAAATAAGAACATGTAGGTGTAAAAAAAAGACTTTGATTTAGAAGAGTAAATTTAGGATTTGGATTTTATGTGGGAAGAAGTTAACAACATTAATATGTTAAAAAGATCAGATTTTTAGATATATAAGTAAATGTTTTTTGATACGGGTAAAAGGGTATTTGTTTTGTCAAGACCAAATTCTATTTCTATATTAGTAATCAATAGACTGAACAGGCTCTATGATCAGATCAGAAACTAAGTCAACTAGATTATGTCATTGATACTTTTAGGCTTACTTGATTAATTAGTACAAGTACTGCAAGTGATGTAACATTAATGCTTTCTAGTCTCTAGTGTGTTGTACTTGTTTATGTGTTCAAGGTCCATTTGTAAATAATGAGTTTATTAGCTAGAGGAAATGGAGTAAAACAGAGGAAATAGACTACTTCTTTGTTTGTTGAATGCAATTAGTTTTTACTTGACTCTTGACATGTAAATGAAATAGAAAAAAAAGACTTGAAATTTCTGAGTTTGTTTCCTGTTGAAAAACTGGCGTCTAGAAATCGGAGTGGAAAATTTAATGTTTAACAAATGGTAGGGAGTGATGGTTGTCTATTCAAAACTCAATAAACTTATTGTCTTATTTTTACTTCTGATGGGATTTTAATTTGTTCATTTTTTTAATTCTTTCAGGGCAAACAAGGGTTCGGAAGACAACAAAAGAGAATGTTGTGTATAAAAAAGTGAATAAAGAAAATCCCGACATGGCAGAAGTTGAAGTGCAACAATGTAATGATGTGGATTGTCATGGCAACAATGATGAACTTCGTCGTATACCTTCAGAAGTGACCATCTCTGATGGGGAGAGCAAACACGATCCCTATAAAGCTCTCATGAGATCTCAGTCAGAGGCAGCCTTACCTTGGAACTTGGATGGTGATGCAACATTTGATATACCTACAAGTTTGCGTGATTTCGAAGATAACAGCAGTCATAATGTGTCTGAGTGTACCAAAGTGTATTTCGACTTATCGAAAGCAGAACCTTATGAGAAGGTTCAACATCTGGAGAGCTCCACTAGTATGAAACAAGTGTTTTCTGGTAGAACATTAGAACCTATCCCACAAGACGAGGAACTACAGACTGGGGATCTATCTCATATTTATGCTAGTCAACGTTCTATATCTAATGACAGTACAGGTGACAGTAACGGTGAAATTAATGATGTCTGTTTTAGTTACCGAGGTGTTACCACAACTTGTAGTAAGGAGATAAGTTCCACTGTCAAAGTCACAAAAACATCACAGGATGTGTCCAAAATCAAAGCAGGCGTGAAATCAAGTTTTCAGATTTATGCCCATTCTTTAAAACAAAAAATTAGACAGTTGCAGATGGGATCTGTCCCTGAACAGATTGTTGCTATACAAGAATTAAACACGCTTATTGAACAAGCTTGGTCTGTGCCTATTTACGGTCGAGAAGTAGCTTATGGTTTATGTGATATTTTACGCGATGATCATGCTTTAGATATTATTGTGAACTATTGTGCCTCTCCTAATAAGGAATTGCTTCAGGCGTCTGCAGTTCTTTTAGAACAAACATTAACAACTGGAAACCGAATCCAAGTAGCAGACACTGGATTAGAAACTGTTGTCAAAATGACAGTGGAGACAAAAAATGATAGTAACTTAGCTAAAACTACAACAGGAATCTTAGAAAATTTATTTAAAACTTCTGAAGACACTTGTTCGCGAGTGATAACTCTGGGTGGTTTGGATGTTATCGTTCATTGGTGTCGCTGTACAGATATTATGATTCTTAGACATTGTGCAATAGCTTTATCAAATCTTGCCCTTTATGGAGGACCCGACAACCAACAGGAAATGACAAAACATAAAGTACCTGAGTGGTTATTTCCCTTGGCTTTTAGTGATGACGACATTGTTAGGTACTATGCGTGTTTAGCATTAGCTGTTCTTGTTGCCAATAAAGAAATCGAAATGTCTGTTTTAAATTCTGGAACATTGGAATTAGTTCTTCCCTTCATAGAAACCCATCGTCCAGATGAATTCGCTCAAATGGATACTTTACATCGTCATGGGCGTTCAACAGGTTGGCTTAAACGTTTAGTGCCAGTTTTGTCCAGCAAACGTATTGAGGCTCAGACCATTGCTGCCTTCCATTTCGCCATGGAAGCTGGGATAAAAGCTGAACAAGAGAGAAGAGATGTAAGTTATTCTTATTTATGATTGTGTTTGGGAAAATCAAGTGAATATTGTCAGCTCATCAGATAATTTTTTACCTGTATCACTTTTCAGAATTACAAACTTAGTACAAATGGTTGTAATACAGAATTTACAACCTTCCAATCTTTATTAATTGTCATACCAAATAGATAAAGATCGTGTTGACTAATATCATGATGCTTTTAATGCTATTGGTTTCCAGTTTGACTGAACATTAATTAAACAAACATTTCATCAGATCATGAATAACAAGTAACCCGAAATATATGAAACATCTAGATCTGTATTCTAATTACCAGGACAACAACTTTCGCCAGAGGTTTTTATCTCGACTGAAAATGTCATCATATCCACCTACTGACTTCCATTATTCTTTATGTTTCTCTCTTAAGTTCAGACATATTGTGAAATACCGGTACTTGATTTAATTAAGGCTTAGCTTCCACATTTGTTACCCGAAGGATAATTTGTTATAACACTTTCTACTGTTTTGACATTTCACACTGTTATATTTTTCTGTCTGTTTCCTGGCGAGAAGGAAGAATAGTATAAACCCCAAAAAGTGTTTGATGCCTAGGGAGCAGTATTGTGCAAGAAAAGTCTGTATATAGTTGACTTGTATACAGACTGGATTTTGGTTCTTTGTACTGACACTACTCTCTTCTTCAATATTGTCTTACTCTAGGTATAAGATATTTTTTTTTATCAGACCAAATTTTTATGATAGCTATCTATCCCCATCAACTTTTCAAAATCTACAATCAAATCAACATCAATCAAAAATATAATATTTAGGCATGTAAGTAGACTCATGAACTGTTGGTGATATACTTTGTAGCTGTTTGACCACTTACCACTGGCTGTTGCCTGCCATCTGATTGTTTGAAGTCACCACATTTTCACACTAAAATCTCAAGAAAATTTGAAGTAGGCCTATTTTGATATGAGATCGCAATGTTTAGAAACAGTATATTTTTTTGAATGATGAACATGATTCAATTCTGAAATCTGCTTGGTTACTTAGAACAAATGGTGGTTAGTCTCTTTCGGCTTGATAGTCAGATGACCTTAAGTAAGTTACCATCACACGTAATCAATTTGACTCATGCTCTAAATGGGTATGGATAATCCTGGATAGTTTGTTTCTTTCTTTTGTTCATTGTGCATACTATCTTATTTTGGATACTTGAGAAATAATAAAATTGAAAGTTGGAAACTATAGTGGCCAATGTATATATATATACAACCATAGAATCAAACCTTTAATGATAATTCAGATTTTAGATTATATTTCAATACCTGTGAAATGACAAAATTGAAAGTTCTAAACCACAGTTATTGATAGCAGATGGCAATATTTTTGTTTGGTTTTGTCAGAAACTACAGTGGCCAATGTGCATAAAGTCAAACCTTTGATGATAATTCAGATTCAATTGAAACACTTTTGAAATAACAAAATGGAAAGTCAGAAACGACAGTTATTAGAGAGCAGACACAGTTATTAGAGAGCAGACGGCAATGTTTGATGTATAATTGTCATGTTTACCCGGTGGTAATTGATTAAAGACAAGGTCAGACTGGTAAAGGGTTAAAATGAACTTAATCAAGATGTCAAGTATGACAAGATAATTATTAAATCTCTTGACAATCAATGACATGTTGATGTGATCCTATAATCATGTTGGTAGGACCTATTGTTTTTATCTGTCCATGTCCGTCAAACTGACTTGTTAATTCTATATAGACTGGCCTGTTGTTTCTATCTGTCCACACTTCAAACTGACCTGTAGTTTCTATCTGGCCATGGTTCTAACTGACCTGTTGTTTCTATCTATCCATGCTTCAAACTAAAATGTTGTTTCTATCTGTCCATGCTTCAAACTGATCTGTTGTTTCTATCTGTCCATGCTTCAAACTGACCTGTTGTTTCTATCTGGCCATGGTTCTAACTGACCTGTTGTTTCTATCTATCCATGCTTCAAACTAAAATGTTGTTTCTATCTGTCCATGCTTCAAACTGATCTGTTGTTTCTACCGTCCATGCTTCAAACTGATCTGTTGTTTCTATCTGTCCATGCTTCAAACTGACCTGTTGTTTCTATCTGGCCATGGTTCTAACTGACCTGTTGTTTCTATCTATCCATGCTTCAAACTAAAATGTAGTTTCTATCTGGCCATGGTTCTAACTGACCTGTTGTTTCTATCTATCCATGCTTCAAACTAAAATGTTGTTTCTATCTGTCCATGCTTCAAACTGATCTGTTGTTTCTATCTGTCCATGCTTCAAACTGACCTGTTGTTTCTATCTGGCCATGGTTCTAACTGACCTGTTGTTTCTATCTATCCATGCTTCAAACTAAAATGTAGTTTCTATCTGTCCATGCTTCAAACTGACCTGTTGTTTCTATCTGTCCATGCTTCAGATTTACTTATCTGTTAGTTAAAATTTTTTGACAACAAAATTTGATTGAAAGAATCTTTTGTACATTAGCCTCATTTGTGGGCTTGTAGATTCATCAGGAATACTTCTTTTGTATCATTTTGGTTACCTTTTTAAAATATCTGTAGTTTGTGTAGGCTAGAGTGAAGACAGAGTGAAATTAGACCATGACCATAACCATTCCTTGTTCCAAGTAACCTTGCAAATCAGATCAAACTTTTACACTCGTGATCACCATTTTTTTCTAATGAACTATTTATTCTGATGTCCAAGTTGTTCTATTTCATGCCTTTTCTTATTATTCCTGTCTATATTTCAGATACTATATGATATTGGTGTAATAGATCCTTTAAAACTATTAGCAAGTTCCCCAAACAGCACTGCTTCCAGATTAGCTGCTAAAGCTCTTAAAATCCTTGGAGAAGAAGTTCCCAAGAAACTTTCTAAACAAGTTCCATTATGGTCTGTTGAAGATGTCTCCCATTGGGTAGCTCAGGTTTGTACAATTTTTACATTGGTGACAGTTACGAAATAATTATTCAAGATGGTCAGATCCCAACATAATATGGTTTTGAGGTTAGGCAATAGGATTGGATTTGTAAATTGTGTTTGCTGATCTAAATAATGGAATGGCTATATCCATCTTGTAATAATACCATTTTATAATTTTTTTGTTGGCAACTGTTTTTATATTTTTATCAAGTCAGTTACATTTTTAAACTGCTTCATAATAACACTTCCTGTTTAAACATGTGATGTTGAATTAATAAATTCAGAAAAAGTATTTCTATATTAAAGTTGCATAAGACCGTTTGATAAAAGACATCTCTGCTAGAATAAACCTAGCATGCTTTTGGGGGTTGGAAATAGGATTGAATTTGTAATTTGTGTTTGAAAATGATCTAAATTATATAATGGCTATATCCAACTGGTTATGGTTTTTTTGTTGGCAACTGCTTGCATACTTTTATCAATTACATTTAACAAAATACTCCTGATAGTTCTGGTTTTAATACAGAAAATGTTGAATTGATAAAATCAGAAATAGTATGTCCATACAATTAATGCTCTCACTATTCAATTTTGATACAGATAAAAAATTGTTATTACCTAATGGTGAACTAATTTAAACTAGTTACTATAGTTATAATATTGTATTATTTAATTGTTATGTATTATGGTACAGTGACATGTACCTACTAACAGTAATTAGATAATAACTATGTCTAGTGCAATCAATATACAAGTACTACATAGTACTTTAAAGGTACTCTACCCCTAAGAATGCCCAAAAATTGAAATTTTTAAACTTAGACAATAAATCCATAAAACAAAGTAATAATCCATAAATAATCCATAAAACTAAGTAATAATCCATAAAACTAAGTAATAATCCACTCTTTGAAGGCTTTTCAATAATTTCGTTGTTAAATAGATATATCGTGTTATTTGAGATTCTATTCTTTAGTAATGGCACCTGATAAGTCCAACTGATAAATATATGCTCTTATTGACCAAGTTTGAGACTTTATGTCCATTCTAAGAGGCAGTATTCCTTTAAAGATACTCCGGTAGATTTTAAATAAATTGGTTAATATATAGGTGCTGTGCATCATTGCATACATGTGCTAATTTAAGATATGTATATTCAGAAAAATCATCATATTAAAAATTTATGTTTCAAAACAATTTTGTTAAAATTAAAATGAAGTGTAAATGAATAAACATCATCATTTTAGAACCAAATTAGAAATTTACCATATTGTGATGTATTTGAAGGTTGGGTTTGGTGAATTTTGTGAAAGATTTGAATATTGCCGTGTTGATGGTGACCTATTATTACAAATAACAGATTTAGAGTTAGCTGATAGTTTAGATATGACGTGTAGAATATCACAAAAACGGTAAGGCAACACTTTTCAACATAACTAATTTCCCTTTAACGGGGAAGTATGCAACAGCCTCAAAATAACAAGATTGTTAAAAAGGAATGTCTGCATTTGGTACACAAATGTATTATCAATTTGTCAAAATTGTAAAATTAAGCTTGATCTTTTCATTAAAGACAAAATTGTTCTATAAAAGTTATTAGCTTTTTAAAAAACTAGTATGATCTTCGTTGTTAGGCAAATTTCTCGTACCCATGACCTATTTGCGAGACAGTAAAATTATCTTCCTGCCAAAAAATGTCCCATGGAAAACAGCCTTTATACTGAGATTCATATGATCAGTCCTGAATTAGAAGAAGTAATAACAATGACATGTTTTTGTTCTGTTCTTTCAGATTTTTACGGGAATTAAAAGAGTTGAAGATAACTGCTGACTATACGTCATGTGATCCAAGCAAACTTTCTGATTGGTTAGATGAAATTTCACCATTGTTTTTACAATATGCCTATAATATGTTAACTTGTGGTGTAGATAGACAATCTTTACCTTATTTAACTGAAGATCATTTGATGTCTGATTGCAGCATCGGTAATGGTGTACATAGAATGAGGTTATTAGACAGAATCAAAAGTAAGTGCATATTTGAGCCTATAATTTTTTTTAATGAAAATGGTGTCGGAATGTTGGGATAAATAATTATTAGAAAAATACATGTGTGTCAGTTATGGAGGATCAACTTGTACGGTACTGTGTACAATAGGGTAAAATAATCTTCACCATTTGATCAATAATGGATTCCCAATCATTTAAAGATGGGTTTCCTTATTTTTTTAGTGTCAAATTAAGCAAACTATTTGATTAATTGGTGTTTCTAATGAATTATCGTGTATTCTTAATCAATCATATCATTATGTTCTTATTGCATATAATTAAAAGTTTTAACAAATCATAAATGTCCATGTATTTACAGTCTGGATAAACAAAACAAAAAGACTTTTTGACCTTTTCTTGATCAGTCACTCATTGGAATTCTGCTGATAATTCTCTTCTAATTTAGCTAATTATGAATTAATTTTGGACTTGTGAGACAAACTGGTATTTTTCCAAGTCATTAGAACACCTCTACTTTCTATTTATATAATTTTTAGCTTTTTTATTTTCATAAATGAAAATAAGGGAACCCATCTTTAAATCTAAAAGGCGTATAATAGAATCTACAAACATTAGAAAATCAATCATATATTCAATTTGAAAAGTAATGCAGGTAGCTAATCATTATTAAGGCCAATCAGTAAATAAATTCAAGACTATACATTTTATATAACTTTAATGTTATCAGTATCTAAATTTAAAAAAAAAATTATTTCATGTTTTGTATTTTAGAATATAGAAATAAACCTGAAGATATTCGAGAAATAAATGGTGATTTAACTAATGGTTTGGAATGTATGATGAAAAATATAGATTGTTTTATTAGTTATAGACGATCTAATGGTTCACAATTAGCAAGGTAAGAGATAAAAATCTTCCATATTAATCAGCAGTTACAAAATATCAGAATAATCACATCTCTTAGATATCCAGATGGTAGATTTATTGGAAAATACTTAGGTCACTTCAATTAGATTTATAAGTTCAGAGTAAACATACAACAAAGTAAATGATAGGTTTTTTTGACAACACTCCGGTACAAAGCAGTATTTGAAAAAAAGGCATTTATTGTATTTCCATATATGTATGTGTTATAAAAACAGAAATATTTTCACTGTTAAAATAGTGCTCAATACTACAATTGTAGAGCAATATAGAAATAGAAATTTTTATTAATTAAATTTTTAAGAATTTGTCACATTGTAAAGCCATGATTCCACTAAACAAATACATAGTCATCTTGCCAAAATCTGGGCAAAATCTGGACAAAGTAGCAAAATTCACCTAATTTTCAAGCTGTTAATTATGCTGAAATTGCCTTCGCTTTGATTCACTAGTACTTCTCTTTCAATTTGATTGAAAGCACCTCTTTCATGATGGTTATCAGCATTATTTGTTATCATTTGTTTGGTTATGTAAAGTTGATGACTGGTGACCCAGAATAAGTCCTCAATTCTCACTGTTCCAGTCAACCCAGCTGTAAATGGGTATGGATAATCTTGGCAAGATCAATTCCACAAGGTTTGGCCAAGGACCATCTGGTCGACAAGATCTTCTTGAACCTAGTTGTTGTTCTCGTAAAGAAGGTTCTTTGATGTTAAGATATATTGAATGATAATTAACTAATTAATCTTAATTATGTTAATATTATTATGCATGTACTTAATGCCAATCCTATTTTATCTTTTCAGTTTATTAAAAGTTCATCTTCAACTGCGAGGATTTTCAGTATTTATTGATATAGAAAGACTTACTGCAGGAAAATTTGATGAAAACCTATTAAAGAGTATTAAATTGGCTAAACACTTCATCTTAGTTTTAACACCTAATGCATTAGATAGGTGTATAGGTGATAATGACCAGAAAGATTGGGTTCATAAGGTATGCTATTGTGTTACTGTTCTTGGGAAATGGTCGGTTCTTTATTGGGAAATGGTCTGTTCTTCATTGGGAAATGGTCTGTTCTTCATTGGGAAATGGTCTGTTCTTCATTGGGAAATGGTCTAATTCCAGTGAAGTCCTTTGCCTTGTAATTCCAATTTTCTTCATGTAAATTTTCACTCTTACAATAGATTTTGACCTTTAGAAAGTTTGGGGTCCTGATGTTTTAAAGTTACATAAAGAGTCAGCAACACATGCATGCTCTTAAACTTGAAGTAAATGTGTTCAAGGAAAATCTTGAAATATCCCATACTTTGTATGAGGTCCACAGAACTTACAAGCTAAAGGATTCTATACTATAGTATACTCAAATATCATCTCTGTTCAGCTTTGGTTGTGAGGCAGATTTTTAATGATTCTGTATTGAAGTTTTTGGTGCTCAGTATAAGACTAATGGATTCAGAAAATTTGTATATTTCAATGTAATTAAAAAACTGTAATTTATATTTGTAGGAAATAACAACAGCAATGGCTGGTGGTTGTAATATTATACCTCTAATGGATAATTTTGATTGGCCAGCAGCAGATAAACTTCCAACAGATATGAAAAGTATTGTTTATTTTAATGGCATTAGGTATGTTATTAATTATATTCAGTAGTATAACTTAAAGCATATGACGTAACCATTATGTGATTTCACAAGGTGACAGTCGCTTCATTTGTCACTTGGGTGTATATCACATAAGTAGGCTAATGTGGCGAGTAGGTCAGGTGCAAATAATGAAAAGGTTAAAAACTATTATGAGAAGACTCAGGCCCAGCACTAAATAATAATGAACAGATGGTATTTCAAACTAGAAACAGGAACATTGTGTACCTCATCAATTAATGGCAGTGCCATATCATTTTGAAAAACTCTACCATAATATCAAAATATTGTCATGGCAGCAAATGAAATGTCTTCAAATATGTTCAATTGTATTGTGATAATATTCTTTTTCCTTGTGTAACATGACTTTCAGGCAAATAAATTCTACTCTTCTCAACCCAAATGATTTATATCTATGTCTTTATTTTGTAGATGGATCCATGATTATCAAGATGCTTGTGTAGATAAATTAGAACAATTTTTACGTGGACAAATAAACGTTAAAACCCGAGGGAAACTTCAGAAAATGGGCAGTCAGGGTTCGTTTGATAAAGTAGAATCTGACACGTGATTGGTTTTAACTTCTATTAAAGTGTGCTCTATATATAGTGTGTGCTCCTGATAACACCCTCTGTTTTAACTGTTCTGTTAATGATAGAGGTTTCTGTTCTTGAACAGAGAGTGAAAAGGCAGAAAAGCTTTTCAAAATGAGTTGGATTTCTTGGATGATCGTGGATTCTGTACCAAATAGAAAGTTTGGAAAAACAGATTTATTGATGTATTTTCCATTAGGTATTACTTACTTCTTTTCTGTGTGGCCATAAATTTACCACAACAATTCCTAGGTGATGGGGTTGTCCTCATAGAATCTTCAGGAATTTTTGGTTTGAAATTGATGAAACACTTTGATCAAAATATCTTGTAGGGCATGAGAAGAAATGAACAGTTGTTGAGCTATAATTGTGTTATGTAATCAGGATACATTTTATGATGGAGAGACATGCATTTTAAGACTTGTTTTCAGGATACATGATCTGAATCAAGAGACATATTAGATCTGTTCAATCAGGATACATGATCTGAATCAAGAGACATATTAGATCTGTTCAATCAGGATATCTGATCTATAAAAATATCCATAAAATGAACTGAACAGGATGGGTGATCTATAGAAATATCCGTAAAATGAACTGATCAGGATGGGTGATCTATAGAAATATCCATAAAATGAACTGATCAGGATGTGTGATCTGTTCAATCAGGATATCTGATCAAGAGACATTTAGTATGATCTGATAACAAAAGATTTAGCCTTGTTAAATGGCAAAACAACTATTTTCATATATCGTTTTAATCACTTTGTTAGTTATTCTTTGTACCTAGCTGTCATTTTATTTATTTTGAATGTAATTTCTACATATTTGTTAATATTCATAACCAGTATAATAATGAAAACTACTTTGTGAAACAGTTGCCAATAGAATATAAAGATGGCAGAAAATGAATTGACTTAGTGTTATCTCTGTATGTAAACCCACCAATATATTTATGTTAATGCCTACTGTTTGATTACTCTGATTGATAACTGATCTATCTCTGATTATATTTCATGACAGTGAAAATATGCAAATTCCAATTCCATTTTAACCAGTCAAGTCAGATTTATCATCAAAAGTAATCAAACAGGGGTATATGTGTAGCATTTTTATTTTATTATCAGTATTATTTTATGTTCATGCACTATTTTTTTTCCTATATAAAATGTTGCTAATAGGACCTATAGCATAATAGAAAAACAAATTTAATCTCCCCATGAAAATTTACAACTTACTGTACCTACATTGAATGTTTTCATAGTCAATGATATGGTATTGTTGCACTTTCAGATAACTTTATTAACAAATTTTTTTATAGATTTAGATGAGCAAAGTTATTAGTAGACATTTGTGGCTGACTCAAAGTCCATAAGCTATTACCATAGATTTTGGGTTTTATTTTGCAGTTAAGATCGTTAGTACTATAATTATTTTAAGAAGTAATAATCATAATAGTTTGACTTACTTTTTTTTAGCAGTGTCACTACTATTTATTAATCTTATAACAAATTAAACCGCTTTTGTTTATGTTTCGAATTATAACTAAATATTTCTGATCCCATATTTTTTTTAATCTACCCTTCTATATATGTCTTCTATTTTTTCATGTTTTCAGACGATCCAATGAAAGAAGATGGTTGGCATTAATACTAAGAGACTATCCATAGAGATAATAAACTTCTAGTGGGTAGCTATAAGACTATTTTATTAGTAAAACAGTAGTTCTCAGTCTGCAGTATGTTTCCAGAATCAAAATCAATACCAACCTATGGATTGTAATGTTATATGATGTTTGTTGTTAATGTAGATTTATTTAGAAAATAAATATTACATTTTGTTTATTTGACTTGTTCAATATCCCAATAATTCATTAATATTAAATGTCCATGATATTGAAATGAAATGATTGAACCTAAGAATATGGTCTATTGTTGGTTAACAAAGACTTGCAATGCTAGGATGTCTGGAAATTTGGCAAGGGCAGTTGCATTAACCCAGTTTCATGCCAGACTTGAAGATAAGAACATGGCAGGATAGAAAGAAAGGCACCAAGATACGATATGTATAGACAGACAGGTAGGTATCTAAACATCCAACTTTTTTTTAGCTCAATTCAAAATATATAACTTTCATCACAGGGCTGTTGGGTTAACAAATACTATGATCACATATACCGGTACATGAAAATATTTGGGTTTTTGTTTTATCAAAATTAATTCTTGATGTTAAGATTAAATTGCAAAACAGTAACATTTTCATTCAGCTATAACATATAAGGGTGGAAAGAAATAAAGGGATTATTGTGATATCTTACTATGATATGAATTGTTTCAATAAATTTCACTGCTAGTAAATCCGGTACATCTAAATTTAAGGGAAAAGGCCAAAAACGCAAAATGGGGAAAATCAGTTTTCTGTATGATCAATTTTCTCCAATGACGTTTTCACAGGTGTCATATTTTGACAACTTTGCATGGATATTGCATGAAAGTCTTTAACAAAACAATCACTTTCCAATATTTTCAGGGGCACTCATACACATCATTGTTAAAACAGCTAAATGCCAGGATATATCACAGGGTTTCTACACTCTCACAGTTCCAGTATTAAATAGGCAGAAACTCCTGTGTATCAATGTCCAACACTATATCCATATCAGGTGTACACTTTGCTTTTCGCGGATAAAATTCCGGAAACATCTGATATTGAACATTTGACTTTTTGTCTTTTAACAGTTTCTGAACTTCTTCTTGTAATTTTGCAGACTTTTCTTCTAATTCCTCTTGTTCTTGTTTGTGAAATTCCATTTCCTTCAACATGACCATATTTTGAAGAGCCATATCTTTCAGACTAGGGTGCATCATTTTCACAGCTTTCTCTGTTACATTTCTAGTGACCTCATTAGTTACCTTCGTTTGATTTTTCTCATATTTCCCCAGCTCGGTGTTGACGATATGTTCCAATTCGGCACAATCTTCATCATTAGTCAATTTCAAATTCTCAATTTCTGTATTTAATCCTGCAATTTTCATAGCTTTTACAGGATATTCTTTATCCTTGTAACTTACTAACACTGAAAGTTCATTTTGTTTTTCTGTTAATTGTTCATTTAAGATTTTGCCTTCCTTTTCTAAAGCACTTAGATGGCTGTCCACTTTTAACTTAGCAATTTGCAGATCCTCCAGTGCTTCATCTAACTCTTTAGCAAAATTGGAATTTATGGTTGCCATGCCAACTCTGTATTTTTCATACCTTCTTAATACACTTTCACCCCATCGTGAACGCTAGATTCATCTTTGGCGATTAGTTCACACAAATTGACATTTTCATCTAAATATTTCTTGCTTCTCTTCTGATAATCTGAACAGCTTTTTTCCCTTGATTTGATTCGAACTTTCAATATGTCTATCCTTTGAGCCAATTCTTTTTCTTTATTTTCTTGTTCTGTTGCTTGTTTCTTTAATCTGGAGGAATTTCTATTGGGGCCAGGAGACTTGAGACGTTTAACTGTAAAACTAGTCGAGTCATCCTCAGTTGGTGGGGATGGTTTAGCACATTGCGACTTGTCATGAGCGTTTGATTTAGATGTTCTAGACCATTGATCATAATTGTTGAAATCAACATTAAATTGAGAACCAAGAGATTTCAGTAATTCGTCATTGTTAAACTGAGTCCTGTCAATTCGAGTAGCCGCTTTTCTTCCCCATCCAGCTGACATCTTTAAATCTTACATGTACTAATATATGAAAGCATAAATTAATCAACGATCATATGAATCAGCAAAAGAATTACAATCGGAGCAAAAATGTTAATAATTGTCAGCCATGACAGTTTACGTTACTATGGAAATCGTAGCCTTGATCGTCAAGCTAAATTCCCTATAATATAGTATATCGTACCTTTTACTAGGTGCAGGTTTGGTTCGGTTGATTGGTGGTAAAAAAAATCAAGTTGCTTTAAAAATCATGCAATGCTTCTACTGTAGACCCACTCTACTCCTAAGATGTTTGATTTGGGCCTATTTGACTCTTTGCATGTCCATTTTGGACAAGGGCGATTTTGACACTTCCGGCGAATAAAATCGCGGACTTTATAAAGTTTATGAATATCAAAAATATTATTTCATATGGTTTAATTTGAAGTTTGAATTATATATTCAGAGAATAAGAACATGTGAATACAAAACATTGTTTTCTTCTTCGGTCGATTGATAAATGGTGTATTTTGTTTAATACCAGAAGAAGTGACTCCACGTTTCATTTCCAGTCCGTTATTTACATTTTTCAACATGTCTCTTTATGGCGGCTCGAATTTCTCAACTGTTCAGGTTATTCTTGGTTTGCCTTTTAATTTCTTTTCGAAACATTATATGAATGTGTGTGACTCCCGATGCACTTACAAAAAAGCATTGCACATTTTTGGGGGGCTTATAAATGGAAGGACTCAAAGTCGATAAAGTAGTTCACGCAATTCGGGTCATCTTCTCCATCTCAAATTTGATGTAAAAAACAGTTCCAGTCTCACAGTAATGTAATGATAAACATTATGAAACTATCCAAAGGGTCTACATATAATGTGATATATGATAAGCCTTAACATTCTCTTTAAAAATTTTGGACTGAGATATTGTATTTAAATCTAAGATGAAAGATAAAACCCTGGCCTGGCTATGACATGAATGTTAATGAAATAAAAATTTTAACGTTTCTTTTCAGTTGCAGATTCAAAATGCATTGTCAAGGCCATTGTTGTATAGAATTCAAGATATTGAAGATATTATTAATACTACAAGTACAAAGGTATGTTTACAATTATTGATTTTGAATGGTTTAGTCTAAGTAAAGTAACTGTTCAAAAAATGGTGCTCTTTAACATGATCTAAACATTCGAGGATTACATAAAAACAGAGCGAGTTGACCTAGCAGATAATCTGGAATAATCAGTGCCAAGAGGTTTGTCTAAGAACCAGTTGATAGAAAGGATTTTTGAGAATCCCAAGTTATCCGTTTAATTAAATAAGGTTATATGGACTATTTTTTCATAATTTTTTTCTCTTAGAAATAAAGTCTATTTTGATCCATTTTCAGGAACTACGGAATGCTTTGCCCTTGATTGTAGAAAGTGTGTTTGGTTATGGACAAGAGAGTGGATGGGATATAGATAGAATCAGTAAAAAATATTACTCTGAATTTGAAAGCATCAGACATTTTCTATCTCCACAAGGACCATTAATGAAATTGGTATACCATTTACAGAATGAACCTTACACATATCATTTCTCTTTACAACATCTGCCTGTAAGTATTATTCATGATTAATGCTACTTGTAGGTACATAACCATTCAACCTGTATTAAACTGAAAAGCTTTCCATCATAAATGGATAGAAGACACATTTTTAAACGAAGGAACTGAAATTGTTTCAAAAAGAAAACATTGTCTAGTTGTCTAAAGATCTTGACTTGTCAAACTTCAGGAGAAACACAGGCTGAAATAGATCAGTTGCCTTCGGATCACTCAGTCAAGAAATCTCAGCAAATTATTTCAACCTTCTGTAGAGACACTTACTGAGATTACAAGGTTTTCACAATGGAGGAAACAAAGTTTCATCTATTGAACCAGAAAATATGCTTCGTTAGTTAAATGATGTTAACACATGCATACTTTATATTTTAGAATCCCAGTAGACATATGATAGAAGATGGTTTGATTCCTACATTCTATGCTAATAAAATACAGCAACAATCTCATGGTTTGATTTTAACTCTAGGTATCCTTATGAAAACTGTTCTTTCAATTCACTCTAGAACAATTTACTTTAAAATGTTATTCACAGCTGATAGCATTCTGAGGCTGTTTTGAATGAGATATTGATGAAAGCAAACAATATTTTTGTTTATGTTATATGCCATGGCAAAATTTTTAACTAGTTTTGATGAAGAAACTTGTGAAATAGTTTATTATCATTCCAGGATAAACCTATAGGAAATCAGAAAAATAGGTTTTTTTTTCATTGTGTTTGTCTTTTAACTGATATCCTAAAATCAAACTGTACACTCATCTTTTACTCTAGAACTAGAGCCACAGTTCTGTGTAAGTTGCTTTCTGCCATAGTTCAAAATCAAAACAAAGCTGCTAGTGGAGTATGTTATCTTGCTTGGCAAATTCTCTTTATTTTTTAAAGTGATGTTATCCTTAACTTATCTTTAGGTGCTTTTGAATTCTACATGTTTCACTTTGCCTATGCGCTAGTGAATCCAAAACATAAAAAGAGTACTTGGCACGATTTTTATGAATATATTTATCCTAATTTAATGAATGATTATATGGAATACTTTCTACCATTGGATAAGAAACGTCTTCCTGTGATGCCTCATACAGCATCACCTATTAGAACAACAGTTTCACACTATTCTTTATCTCCTGGGTGAGTCAATTTACTAATTGATACCCAGCCCATATTCTAGCTAATGAAGACAGGCAGTTGCCTTGGAGTGTGCAATGTTGAAATTTTGCAAGGACTGCAACATTAGCCTGTTCTCTTACGATTTTCAAATGTTGGCAAATTTTTTATGTTTGAAATAGTGTATACCGGTACTCTATTTTTGGTAATAAAACTAGGTATATTTTCCTCATTGTACACTGTATGGTATCTCTATTTCATGGATTTATGTGTAAAATAAAATACTTTAATATGGCAGTTTCCTGTTGTCTGAATTGAGATGCTTTCACCATTAGGTTATTTGGTTATATCAACAAATTAAACTAAATCTGTATCTATTTTTAAGGCATTCTCCTAATCCATCACCAAACATCTCACCATTTAAAACACCTAGAGGTTTGTTTAAAACAAGTTTTACTGTAGCTAATCAGAAACAGCATATACCATCATCACCTGTTTTAGACCAGAATGAATCAGAGACTTGGAGATCAGAGACAATGTTACAGGTATTGGTCAAATTATATTATAGTTTCTTTACGTCTAATTTTTTCCAAATGTTCACCAATTTGTTTGCTCTACAATAATATCTAATCAAGTACAGTGACAGTCATGTTTTTAAATATACAACTTTTCAGATTTGGAGTGAGTTTTGGTTAAATCAAAATGCTACTAGTAATGAACCGAGTGGTTTACCTCAAGCATCAGTTGTAAGTAGAAGTTATTTTGATTTAGTATCTTCTAAGGTTTTTTCTGTTTGATAGATTAGCATTCTTGCCTTGCAAATTGTTTGAATTAAGAACAAAAACTAGATAGCTTTGCATAGCATTTTAGTTTCTCATGAAATATCTTATTTTGGAGATGCTTGTTGTGTCTTAGGTATTGAAGTACCGATGCTAAAAGAGCACTTTGACGTGGAAAAGGCTTCTTGTTGATGGATGGGACAGTTAACTGAGGTCCAATGTGCCACAGGCTGTGAACATGAGTTCCATTGACAATTATTATTTTGGCTTATGCCATTTCGCTTGCAAAAATTCCCTTCACTGCAGACATTTTTCATTAGCCCACATCTTTTCGGAAAATTAAGACTTATTACTTCAATTTATATTAGTATTTACTGATACTTTCTTATATATTGTTAAAATATTTCTATTGAAATAACACCAAAACCACTGAAAATGGCTTGATTGCTATAAACGTGTGACTCAAACCCATAGACTCTATAGAATTGAAAGTAATGCTGTATCACTCTTATGTTATTGTATAATAAAAGAAGTAAGAAAACAGTTTTCAAGATTGACTAAAGTATTTTATTCTACGAGCTTTCCAAATCATTTCACTTAATGAGGATGAAAGCTCTAAGAATAAAGCATTTAGTCTTTCTTAATAGATGTTTTCTTACTTCCTTTATTATACCATAGACTCTGTATTATCATTAAAAGAGATATTAGGCTAATAGTAGTATATATATATATTTTGTGTTAGATATCATCCTATGCTCCACATACTAGTCATAATACCAGCTATGACTCCAGAGATCCTTTTCATATATTATACGTAAGTAATGCACTTGGTGGATGTTATTATATCTTCTTGATGTCAAGCTATTACAAATTGAGTCTAATATCATGACTGCAATGGTCACCTTTCTAGTATCATGGAAGTTTGTAAATGCAGCAATTTGATTGGATTGTGAGCTACCGAACACAGCCAATGAGAGCCCTTGACAGAAAGATTGTATAACATAAGCCATAATGTTTACAGTCTTTATGTTAAGCTAATAATTAAACACAATCCGATTAAATTGCTGCATTCTTTGATACAAGAAAGTGGGCTATTACAGTCAAGGTATAAGATGCAGTTTGTAATAGCTTGTCATTGTGAAGATGATGTTGTCATGACTGCAAGGGTATTTCTTTCTAGCTTCTTCATTTTTATTAAGTTAACTTATTTACACTAATGCATGACTCCCAAAATCATATTGACAATTGCTATCGACAAAGTCGGCCCTGTTTTATGTGAATTCTTAAGCTTTTCTAACTTCTGTATGCATATATCCAGGGCATTAATAGCTTCTATTCATAGCCTTCCCATTTCCTAATGAAAATTTTACAGGGAATCAAAGAAATTGGAATTTAGAGCAAATAGAAGGTACATGTATATATTCTCCTAAAGACATATAAAAGCTAGAAAACCTTTTGAATCTAAAATTATTTGTTGTCTAATGAAACCATTTTGAGAGTGGCCATCTTTCTTTGATTCTCATGACTAACCTTTTTAATCTTAAATATATGTAAACAGTCTTCAGAAGTACTAGAAATGTACAAAAATCGCATAATTCCTTTAAAAATACTTCAAACTAGGAATTTTAATCACTATATCTACATGTGTCTTTTCTATATATCCCAGAGTATTTTAAATTGAGTCATCATCTTAACATTCAATCTGGACACACATGGATTTGAAGGCTCAAATTGATGGTGAGCTTGGAACACTATCACTGATAGTGAAATTCACATTTCTGAGACTAAATCATGATTGGTGAAAAAAATGGCCTATCTGTCCCTTTAAGTGTTTATTCAGTTTATTTTAATACATAATAAATAATACATATAATAAATACAGTACCTTATCTTAACTTGACACAATTCAACTCCGCACCTTATTGTTTATTACTGTTATGCACTCTTGAAGGTAACATTTATTTTTTTTAACCTGTACCACTTTTGAAAATGACAGTCTGAGTGATAAGGACTTTTTAAGATTAAGCCAGTTGAAGAGTTTGCCTGTAAAAAAAATTGAATGCTTTCTTTTAATTTTCATCACCTTCTAGAGTCTAGACATTTTATTCATGTAATTATTAACTTTTGTTATAAGTGATGTGTAGTTAAAGGCAGGTATTTTATATTTAGAATAATAACTTGTAACTTAGTCACTTATTTATTAGATGGCGTCAGATATACTTTACTTATATTTTACCAATAGTTATATTGTTGTCAGTGAAAAATTATGTAACATTTTTATGTGTACTTTCTAGAAGGCAGCGTCACACTGTCCCAAATCACATCAGATGTTCACACAATAAAGAAAATGTTCCAATTTCTGTCTGATCGTATCTTCAGCCATAGCATGACCCCAGTTTGAGTTTTTAAGGTAGCAACAGCAACTTGATCTGCAGTGGCAAAATCCTTTCTAAGGTACATTTCTGTGTTGAAGCAATGTTTCCATTTTGACATTAGTAAGGTCATTGTTAGGGTATCTTGTCAAATTGTGACATCTTCAACTGAAAAACTGTGTGATAGTCAAACGAAGTCAGTGCAACTATGTAAAGCCCTCTTAAAGCCTTAGTGGATCCATCGATCAAGATCAAATTTGAAATAAATGTGAATTGTATTGTGTGTTATGCTCCTGGAAATCTCTGCAGTAGGCAAATGCCATATACGAATGGCCATCTGGTGTTTAATTCAGGACAGTGTGAAAGCTTCAATACTGAAACAAAAAATATAATGTAAACTTTTTATACAAATTGCATGGTTCATTTTAATTTTATAGCTTTTAGAATATTGTATATATGTGCTTTTAAATCCAACTACATTTTTAGACAAATATGATATTCAACTGGAGTAACTGTTATCAATATATTTATGGCCAGTTTCTATTCACCAATTACTAAAATCAACTTGAGGAGGAAATAAGATCAAATGATCAAATGTTACATTTGTTAGTAGATAACAACATTGGTCTGTCAAATCTAATTAGTTTTTTAAATGTATAAAGTGTTTGTGGAACACGAAAGGAATTTGTTTTTTTGTATATCCAATTATAAGAAAGGATGACAATTTGAATAGACTTGAATTTTGGATGGAAAATGGCTGGGGTGCCATATCACAGAATTTAATAATGCTTCAACATTGATTCTGTGTATTTTCAGGAACACTATTTACCGTCTAGTAACCATGTTAGTGTGGTGCGTGTTTTAGTTAGATATCTACATTATTTTATAAATACAGCATCACCTGGTATTGTTACTTCAACTTATCAACCAACACAATTATCAATGTTAGATGAATTTAAAAAGTAAGTTATTATATAAATACAGCATCACCGGGTATTATTACCTCTGCTTATTAACCAACACAATTATCAATGTTAGATGAATTTAAAAAGTAAGTTATTATATAAATACAGCATCACCTGGTATTATTACCTCTCCTTATCAACCAACACAATTATCAATGTTAAATGAATTTAAAAAGTAAGTTATTATATAAATACAGCATCACCTGGTATTATTACCTCTCCTTATCAACCAACACAATTATCAATGTTAGATGAATTTAAAAAGTAAGTTATTATATAAATACAGCATCACCTGGTATTATTACCTCTCCTTATCAACCAACACAATTATCAATGTTAGATGAATTTAAAAAGTAAGTTATTATATAAATACAGCATCACCTGGTATTATTACCTCTCCTTATCAACCAACACAATTATCAATGTTGGATGAATTTAAAAAGTAAGTTATTATATAAATACAGCCTCACCTTTTACTGTGTTCAGACAATAGATATCTTTAAGATAAAGTATTTTTGTAGTCATTAACTTAATGAGCAATGGTTAAATCTATGGATCAGTAATATATTAGTATTAGAGTTGATGTTTCATGTAGAATATCTTGTATTTCTAGGTCTGTAGTTCCACAGATTATACAGAAGAAACTCTATACATTCTTAAAACATGCTTTTGATCACTGGCCTTTAGATTCATCTTTTAAAATGGTGAGCATATTCATTTCTGTTCATCTGTTCTTCTAACTTAACATTTTGAACATGAGTAATTTTTTTTTCTGAATTTAAGCAATCCAGTCATTTGGTTATAAACTTTTTTTGAGGATCAAGCACCTTTGATAGTTCATGATACCAATCTGATCCCAGAACTATCTTAAATAGATCAATAAGAGAATTATTATGGATAGATACTTCTAGAATATTTATTACTTTCAACATTTCATTGTGGTTATCCCACTGTCATCAGGAATATAATCATCTCAAATAGCTTGTAATGTTTTTTCTTGTTTAGCTGATAGAGATTTGGCTTTGTTATATTCAACCATGGAGATATTCAGACCCTAAATATTTCTACCAGAAAGAAATGGCAGCTCATGTAGGTGATAGAGATTATGACAAAAAGTTGGAGGATAAATGGTATGTATCCTGTTTTAATATTTAAACTCAACTTTTTGTTTACGCTGTTCATTAGTATCATTGATGTATATTGTTCACTAATTGATGTATACATTTTCAACAGCAGGAATATTTCTGAATTATCTTTTAATTTCTAATTGTAGGTATCAGTTTATAGAAGATAATTTACTATTCTATACAGTGCTATTTCAAGATTTTCTACCTAGAGTTTACCGATTAGATTTAACATGTCTAAATAATTCTTATATGATATACAGAGTTACTAAGGTTAGTATTAACTACTCTTTTATAATAAAAGCTATAAAAACATATAAGGAATTTTTTTGTCATGCTGGAAATTTGAGAAGCATTGTGGTTATTTATTTCCTTCAACTGTGACATCATCAATGTTCATACCTTGTGTCATCAATGTCTATATCTTGTGACATCATTGTCCATATCTTGTGACATCATTGTCCATATCTTGTGACATCATTGTCCATATCTTGTGTCATCAATGTCTATATCTTGTGTCATTGTCCATGTCTTGTGACATCATTTTCCATATCTTGCAAATTTAATGTCTGTAACTTATAAAATATTTTTATTGTCTTGTGACTTGAAGAAGCCTTCATTCTGTCTTTACCTAACAGAGATAGTTGTTAATATGTAATCTAGGAAAGGTACCAACATTTTATACAAGTTAGTCAGTGGCCCTTGCCAACATCACAAGAAATCTATGTTTTATTTGTGTTGAATGTTTGTTTATTTATTATTTAGGTGTTTAATAAGACCAATCTATGTCATCTAATTGAAAGAGGTAAATAGAAAATTTCATTATTACATATAATAGGTGCTTTACTAGTAACTAAAAGAAAATATCAAATATGAAACAAATATTTAATGCTGATTATTGTTGTTCAGTCATCGTTTCAAAAGGGAATAGCCCCTGAAACACTATAGTCTTGATTGGAATGAATTGATTTAATTAGGCAAAGCTTTTGTAATAAGTTATAATATGATTCAAATTTGGTCAAAATGTCTGCATATCCTAGCATTATGAATATTTATGAATATTATTGATAGTGTCTGTTAATATTTCAGCTGAAAGAAAGACTTGTAGTTCATCATTTATAACTAGTAGAAGTGGTAATCATATTAATGATAGTTACCATGGAATGTCTGATAGTTTCTGTTCTCTACCTCCTCAATATGCTGATCTAGAATCACCTGGTTTTACCTATACACCATTATTTGGTTCCAGAACCTTTAATTTGGTAAGTTTACTTGACTTATTTCACAGATTTCTAAAAATTGAAATGTTCCTTGTTATGACAAATGTGACGTTTTTCGCAACATGGAAAAAGTGATAAGATTTGTGTTTCTTGAAATCTGTCTAATTTTGCATCCTGATTGTCTTTGAATTTTCATTCTGTCATTGAAATTAAAATGGAATTTTCTAAATTTGGAATTGGCTTTGCAATATTGTATGTGAATGACTTAGAATTATGTTATACTGAAGAGGAAGAATACCTTTAACGAATTAGTCAAAATAATGTTGATCATGATGAATTTTTTTTCTAGGCTCAAGCTGTATTAGATCAAATGATAGATGCTAAAATAATTGGTGCTAAACCCCCTGTTAATGTTACTAAACAGAAGAAGAAAGGTTGGTTAAGATGGTTTGTTGATGGATTATTTGGTGAAGACAGTCAGTTTGGTGAAATCAGTCCTGAAGAAATGAAAAAACAACAGAACTATTTAACTTATGCCGTCAAATATTTCTCTATGATATTTAAGGTAATTTGAAAATTTTGTGAGATTCTAATGAGGATTTATAACATTTTCTTTGTATGTCTCGGGGGCATCTATAGCTTTTATTTTCACCTTCTATTTCCTATGTTTGTGATAGTGAAGTCAAGATCAGTCATCTTTCCTCATTATTCCAGGGAGTCGTTAAAAAGAATAATGCTGTTGTCCTAGCAAAATTTCGCTCATTGCACACTGCATGGTGTTGCCCATTTTCATTAGCCCAATTATGTCCAGAAGAGTAGGACGTAAAAATCCTTTCGTTTCGTTTCCTCATTATTCCTGTTGACCCAGCAGTGAATGAGTATTCATGAAAGGACTCAAGTAGTCATCCTTGTTAATATAAATATTTCTTTATAATTGTATCTTTGTATTGTAGTTTCAAATACCAGTAGAAATTGAAAATATGAGTCTTCCAGCAGATACAACATTAAATGAATCTGCTGAATCAACATTACCAGATTTTATACAAACTGAGAATGGACCACAATTAACTGATTTAGGAAGATATCAGGTATTTTAACTTATTTTTACTCTTAAATTATACCCTCAAAGTATCAGCATTTGTTTCAAGTGGTAAGTGGTTACATTGCAGAAATGTAAGCCTTAATTTTTTTAAGATTTTGGTGCCGAACATGAAGGCCTTTAAAATTGTTCCTGACATTGGTAAAAGAATGCTCCATTAATATTCCATCAGAGCTTTGTCTTCTTTTTTTTGATGCAATTCAGAAAGTTGAGATGTTTACAGACTCTGCATTTTGCAGCCAGATTGTGTGCTGGCAGCATAAATAAGAAAGGGTATTTAAATATAAAGTGTAGACCACAGTAAAACAAGCTAATATTAAAAATAACCCATTATGTCTGTGATGTTACAGGTAGCTAATGGTTTAAAGAAATTTGATGTAGTATATTATGGTGATCCTGACCTAGAGCCTATTAGAAGTTATGAGAATGCTACACTGGTTAGATATTTACATCAATTCTGTGATAAAATCAACACTAAGGTGAGAAGGTCATCTTGCTTAATAGCTTCAGCTTAATTTCAGCTATCTGTTTCACCTTTCACAATAAAACTCTCACATCTGGTCTGTGTGCAATAATATGAATAATGTATAATGATTATACATGTAATCTAGTTGATAATATTCTTCCATACAGATATATCACCTCTGAATTCATGTAAGCAATATCTGTATTGGAATGATATAAACAGGGCGTTGAATTGCCATTCTGAAAAGTGGAATAGTTGAAATTGAGCTCTTCCAGCTAGTTGAATGTTCTACTATAGGAAAAAAATGACAGCTTCTTGTGTACTTTCTATTTATATTTTCAGTATGCTAAACAGATTCTAGTTTTAAATCATCGGACAGATTTTATAGCTAAAATGATACAGACCTTTATTTCTCCTCCTATTTCACCTCATGAACAGATCATGTCACCTATGTCAAAAGTCAAAGCTGAACATTTACGTCAACCAAGGCTAAGTCTTCGTTTTTTAGCCAGTTATCAAAACTTGATCTATTTTGGACTCTTATATTTAGTGCTTAATCTATGGCTTGGATTCGGACCTGCTGGATTCTTGATTGTCTTATTCTTTGGAGCTGTGTTTTATGCTGCCTTTTCAGCTCTTGTAAGACCCACGAAACATAACTCTCTTTGATGTGTCATGTGTCTGTATCAATATCATTTTGGGTCTATATTCATACATGGTGATATTTGGAACTTTCGGTTTCCCTAAGAAGCATCTGAATATAAAATGTCGTAAAGTGCAATGAAATGTACTCAGTAGATTATGCTGCCAAATTTAATTAATAAATCATGTATTCTCATAATTAATTATACAAAATAATGTCACAGTTTGAAAATTAAATATTATTTTCTCTACGATCCTTTTTTGACCAAAATTCTGTTAGAGTAATTTTTCTGCTGCAAAAAAAGTGCTTTGGGTGCAAGCATTTGTGACAGCCATGAAAATTAAATGTTATACATCCTTTATTTGCTCCATGAAAGTGGCAAGCACACTAAGCACATGCAGTGTGCAACAAGGGGAATTTCTTTAGACAGGTGGCATTAGCCTGCTTTTTTCTTATTGGTAAAGGTATCTTCAACACTTCAACCCTTATTATGAAGGGTCTTTGTTTATTGTCCCAGTTGAAATACTGGAGGTTTTTTCCATATTTGGCCCTCTTGCCTGCATCATTGGCAGAGGAAAACAAGGTTGAAAATCCAAAGTCTGGATATTCAATATGTTGGGATAAATCCCAAATTCACAATAGAGCAAGCTTCAACAAGATATGAAACTTCGCTATGCCCCAATCAAAGGTTATAAAAATAAAACAAGTCAGTTGTGATGAAATGAACAAAAGTGAAGTTTATTAGATATAAATTATCAGCCATCTAAATATTTATATTATTATTAATTCATATAAATTATAAAGTCAATTATAATATTGCATCATGACAATTTATAATAATAAAACATTGACTTTATATAATTATAAATATCAAGGCTAGAGTTTTATAATAATAATAAATACACAGGTTTCAAACATAGTTGTTTATATTTAAGGTAGATATGTTTTCCCAACTTGGCAAAACTCTCTTCGGATTTTTAGAGTTGAAAATAGTTGAACTGCTAACATGCAGAATTTTGTTTTCATAAAAATCTGTGTAAAATCATTTCAAGAAATTTTCTCCAAATTGTTATTTTTTATATCAAATCCATTTAGATAATTTTCATTCCTTAATTTTTTTTAGAATTTTGAGCTAATCTTAAATCTGGACCATAGAATGCAGAAATTTTTCAAATTATCTTTGAATTTTTAATACTTTTATTCCTTATTCAAAATCCACTACTCATTAAATATAACAACTTCTCACAACACTTACACTGTTAATACCATAGTTACATATAAACACAATCATTCATTCTTACTCTTAATTCATCCTTCTCTCAATCTTAACTGGTAGAGATTCCATTTGTCTACCCGTTATTTTTCTGACTTATTCAAAGGTTTAATAAATATACCCTAAATTATGATTATTACTCATACTCTAATGCAATGACATTTCTACCATTGAAAAATTGTTATAAGCAGTGATCTTCTAAGCTGCCAGATTTATCAAAATAAGTCTTAAGTGGCCCTAACCCCATAGCGATCACCAGTTGCTGGAGTTGAAAATAAAACAGCAGACATAATCTTCAAACACATCTCTCTTGCATCTGAGTTTTGACTTGCATCATGGTCACTTTCATCATCGCAACTGGTTATCGTCATGGTTTCAAAGCACTTTCAATGGATACAAAACTGCAATTTCATAAATTGTCATACCATCAATGCAGGTAAACCATTTAAAAAGGTTCTTCTGCAACAACTCTAAAATTATTTCTAGTTTGTCATTAATCTTATTCTGACTACAGTTATGAAATTACAGTTCTGTATCCTTATAACTGATTAAATATTTTCCCTTTGAAATATTGAATGTCATTTCATTGTTTGGAATATTTTAAACAAAACACAATCAAATTTGATCATAAATTAGCCCATGTCATATGAACTGTAGCATAATATACAAAGCATAGAATAAATACACACAAAACTAACAAAGGTATGAGCTAAAGCCAAAAACATGGCCAACTACTAAATGCATTTTTTTTTAAATATTTCTATCACAGGCAAAAGAAAAATAATTAAAAATATGAAACAGTGCTGATTATATCACAAAATCGAATGGCCTCTTACAAAGGCAGTATTATAGATTTCATAGAACACAATTTTCTTTACTTCACGTCCAATGTGACTCTATTTCTTGCCATATTTATAGCATTCTATTTCAAGATCAGTTTAAATGTTTGTGCTAGCAAGAATTCTGGTCAAGACAAGTGTTACTAACTATAACAGTATGAAGACTGAAAGAGGTATATTCCTCACTTAGAAACCAGTGGAGTTTCTAGGAAACATAAGTTGAGAAGGCTGAGCATGGACAAAAACATTTTCCAGGTGGGGCCACATATCCTTTAACAATGCAAATTGATAAAAATTGTGCAAGAAGGGTCCAGCCTCTTTTCCATGCCTCACCATAGAAATACCACTGTAGGAAATAGTAATTCTTCTTATAACCCCTTAGTCACCATGCTTTAGTCTTCATACTTCTTAAAGTGGTTGTGAAATTTTTTTCTAAAATATTGTATCTTTATTATGGACACTATTAGCATCAAATTTGAATCAGAGGTCTGTGGATTTTGCAATTCAACTTGAACTAGGTTTATGACATCATCACAGCAAATGTTCTTGTATACCAATAGTAGCTTTTAGTGGAATTGCAGGAACCACAGACGTTGAAAAATGGAATGGTGCAAATTGATGATATTGGTGTCCCCAATGCACAGAAAAACTCTGTACAATAGCTATAAGAAATTTCTAATTATAGGCAAATGCTGACCAGTAGAAGGATAATAAGGTATTAATAACGTTGTTAAATATATGATAAGTGATTAATTATAGATATTTTTGGTTTAACTGTCATAGACGACTAAAAAGGTTACTGTTATGACAAGAATATTAATGAAAAGTGTTCAGCTAAATATAATACCAAATGATCTAATTCTAAAAGATGGAAAATGAAATGTCTAAAAACACTTTGCTTTATAAGCATGAAATCACAAAATCATTAAAAACAGCATTTTAAAAGTGAAAATCCGTGAAATTTTTTACAAATGAATAGACTATTTCTCTACTTGTGAAATAATTTTTTTTGAAAGACAAATATTATGAATTTATTTTGATGAATGCATATGACACTACTACGCACATGCATGCATACATTCAGAAGCATGTGCACTAAAAACTAAAATAACAAATCAACAACAAATATTTTTTATAAATTAATTTTTCAACCAACTTGATCCTCAATGAACACAGCAATGAGGATAACTTTTTCTTTCTTTGCATTAACCAAGTTCCCAACAACTGTTTTGAATACTCGATATAAAATGGAGCTAAAAAATCTTGATATGAGCATTCTTTTCATGAATTTATCACCAAATGCTCATGAATATTGACTTTTGGTTGATTTTCCAAGTTGAAGTCCTCTACATTGCTATATTCATTGAGATCCAAGTCTTTAAGAGATATATCACAAATATTTATATAACCTTATTTACATTATTATTTACAAGTTTTATTTACAATGATGTAGAATTATTTACATGAGACAACATTTACAATGACTATGATAATTTACAATGTAAATTTCAGAATTTTCTTTCAAATAACGAAATTATCAATTTGTTTGAAATTCTCCTAATTCAAGTCAACAAAAAACAAAATTTTGAAAATATCAATTTTAAAGGGTATACCAAGCCTTAAAATTTCAATTTGGGATGCCCTATCTGTTAAAATACTTGAATATTTGCTGAAATTGTACTTGGAATTTAGAGCAATATCCCTGGGTGCACTGTGAAAAGTAGTTAACTGCACAATCAAAATAAAACTTGGTGTGTTCTTGGACTTAAATGAAGAAAACTAGAGTGAATTAAAGAAATAAATCAAGATGGGTGTAAGACTTAATAAAACAAAAAATGGCACAAAACAAAATATTTACTTAACAAATTCACTTTTTCATTTGTGTATAACAAAACAGCACTGTAGGTAATATAGGCAAGATATATAAGAGGACATAGAAAAAGTGTAGGACATATTTCAGCTTCTTGATTATTTTTCTTATGAAGCACTTTGTAGTTGTTTAAGCCAAGCATAATAGGGCATATGTTAAAGTTTTTTAATAGTTGCTGGAAAGTGTCACAGAAAAGATATCATTTCAGCAAGTTGTTTTTTTGGTTTACCGGTATCTAGAATTTCACAATTTTTCATTAAGCTTGGCCTCACTGTCTCAAATACCATCAGCGATTTTTAGCATCACTTTACACTGCCTCTTTCGTTACTCACAAGATTTGGACAAAAACTGTCTATTTCAACTCAAAGTTTATTTCCATATGGAATCACTGTTTTTTCATTTTTACCGGTAATACCAATAATCATTCTGTTTATACTTCTCCTTGCAAATGTTTTTGCACTAAACAAGGTCTTTTCCTTCAAGCACATTTAAATGGTCATTTTGAACCTTTGCAACACTGATCAGAATATGAACTTTAAATATGAAATACATGATGTTACGGAATCTGACATCACTTGGTAACACCTGTCTGACAATGTAATGTTATATAATTATGTAGCTCCTTGTGCTGAAAGGATTAAGTGATTCATGTCATTCTCTCTGTTTTTTCACAGAATTTGAGGATTTCATTGGTTGTATTTCACTGGGTTGGTATCACAACACTGTTGGATAGATTTATATAGATTTCCACATTGTGTGAGAGGTTTCCTTATTGCATATAGATATTGAGCCAGCCATGATGTTAATATCTAGGCTTGAACATGGGCAGGGGTTTGTAAATTAGATAGTCTATGTTCCACACTTAATTTATCTGAAAAATCAAAGAAAATTATTTTTTTAGTAAAATCTAAGATTGAATTCAATTTTAAGAAAAAAAGCACTTAATTAATCCTTTCTGAACATGACATTATTTGCTTTAAATTAATTGGACTTATTCAGTGAATAAACTAGAAACCCCTCCTTTTCAGTCAGTTTTCCTAAACTTTAGTGTACTAATATGACTAAGATTGACACAAGAGGTGTGTTGGTTACACGCTTAGTGTTATTTTGATGACAAAATCTGGTGTACCAATCAGATTTGATTTTCCCTATTTTATTTTACATTGACTAAAAATACTTACATTTATTGAGTAGATCTTTATCTCTAGCATTACGTGTCTGTTGAGCTAGACTATGTAATAATATCTGAGCTACAGTGTAACGTCGG